CAAGGCCCCTTGGCCAGGACAAAACGTGCTGGCCAGCAGCCCTAGGCACTGCCGTGAGCCAGCAGCCCTAGGCATTGCCTGATCTCCTGCAGGGACCCTGGCTTCCAGCTGTGCCTGTGGGCATCACCACACCTGGAGAGTTAGGGGCATGCTGACAGAGAGGCGGCAGCACCTAAGCGGGGAGGTTGAGGCAGCCAAGGTGGCTACTCCACTTCTGGCCCTAGCCAGTGTCCCCTGCCAGAAGCCAGAAATGACCAAAGCCGGACTGGGCAGAGAGTGATTTCAGCAATTTGTTTTCACCTTAAATATTCACGGGTCACAAAACTGCCTTGGGGCATTAAAACCAGGATTAAGACATCAATTAACTTAGGTCTGAATGCTCTGATGGTTAACACAGCAACCAGAGAGAATGAAGCATTTCCAAAGCCAGCCTCTTGGCACCAAAGCACCATGTATTCAGCAAAAAATCACCGTGAGGGTCAGGGAGACCTCCCCTTCAGGAGAAGATGGGGCCAGGCAGAAGGGCCCTGGGGTGGGGGTGGGGGTGGGGGTTCCATATCACAGGGACCTCATGATCATCCCTTCTACAGCCTGGAACCCAGCCATCAAATCCCAGAACAAGATAGACAGGACGAACTATCAGTTGGGACCACACATGCTCAGGAGGCTCCACGGGCAAGCCCTCTCCTAGGCCCAAGGCCGTGAGACACCAATGGCTCAGCCCTGCACCAGGGACTGCCCGGGGCCTTCCCCTCTGCCCCTGATGCTGGAGCATCCCAGCTCTTGCCTTCTGATGCAGAGAAGTTCAGAAGCTGCCACTGCCCTTGGAACCCCACCTCCCATGTGGCTTTCTCGTTAACGCCAGTTGCAATGCTTGCTCATTAAGAGATGAAGATGTGCAACCCCTCTGGAATGTTCTCTGCACGTGACCAAGAATCTAGGGCGTCATTCACACGCCCGCTCCAGTTTGGAACATGCTGCCCAGGATGCAGGTTCCCTGGGGCCCATAAGCCTCTGACACCCCCAAGTTTACCATGTCCCCTGCATGCAGCAAGCCAGGGGAGCAGAAATAGACACGTTACTCATGGCCTGCTTAATGCAGGCGGGACACCTCCCCTCCATGTTATTAACAGTTCTATAACCGGCGTGTGACTCAATTTGACTCAGTCTCACTTGAAACCCATGGAGGCGCTCGGCGATTGCTGACACGCTTGCTCTTCTGGGATGCTTCTAGAGGTACTTAGCCGGAACCCAAGGCACCAAGCTATTAGACGGCATGAAAACGTCACCTTTTATTCCCTACTCTACCTCCGGATCAATTTAATCATCGGCAAAACGGGAAAGCAGAACCGCAGCCTAAATGGAGGGAGTCAGACGTCTGCTCTTATTAAATTTCAACTTTTGACCTTCACATTCAAACTGCGATACCCGGTGCCCGAACAGCAACGATCCGTTATGATCTCATGTGTGGTGGGGAAGAGTATGATTATAGAGGAATTTACAGAAAATCAAAAAGGCGCTGCTTGGGAGAATGGAAAACAATAAAACAGTCACACAAAGGAAACAAATGACGCCTAGTCAGAAATGAGAAGCCAAGCAGCCCGTGCAGGCAGACACTGCTCGCTGCCTCCTGATTGGAACCCGGTGCCCCCAGCCGAGCCGCCACCTGGGAACTGGGTGTGTGTGTGTGTGCACGCTGAGGAAGCTGCACACCTCTAGCTCCCTGCACTTGGCCTTGGCACAACATCTGGCCTAGCCCTGAGCTCCTGATTAAGTCAGGTGGGGCTCAGGGAACTGAGGCTGAGATTGACAAGCAGGCCCCACCTTCCAGGGCACAACCCCGCACTCAACCAACATCTTAGGGCAGGTCACTAGCCTCCCTGTGCCTCAGTTTCCTCATCTGTAGCAGGGGAGAGCTACAGCACCTAGCTGGAGCCCACACTATGGTGCAGTGGGTTACATCTCTGCTAGACCGGTGTCCCATTTGAGCACTAGTTTGAGTGCAGGCTGCTCCACTTTCAATCCAGCTTCCTGCTAATCCACCTGGAAAAGCAGCAGAAGATGGCCAAAGTGTATGAGGCTCTACCCCTACATGGGAGACCTAGAAGATGCAGGCTCCCTGCTTCAGCCTGCCACAACCCTGACTGTTGGGGCCACTTGCGGAGGGAACCAGCAAACACAAGATCTCTTTTTCTGTCTCTCCTCCCCTTTGTCTATAACTGCCTTTCAAATAAATGTAAGAACCTTAAAAGGAAACAACAAAAACAAAACAACCCTACAGCACCTGACAAAACACACATAAGAAGCTTCTTTAAATAAGGAGACCCATGTTGAGGGCTCAGCAGCAGGTCACCATCAGTACATCTGGATGTGTCAGCACACAGCTCCTGCCCTCATGCCACCCTTGAGCATACACTCGCCCTGCCAGTCTGCTGCCCTCTACTAAGCAGCATACCCAACACTGGGTGATGTCTCGAAAAGGGGTTCCTTTAGCGTCCAGTTTTGGGTCATCACGGTCACAGCCTGGCTCTGGCGAGGACCTCCTGACAGATGACATCACAGCAGTGGGAGCACGGGCACACCTGATTCATCTGGAGCACAGGAAGCCAGAGAAGGGGTGCTGGAGCTCGCTCTGCCCTTGCAGCCCTCTTGCGAGAACCAAGCAGGCTCCCAGGAGAACTCCACCCAGTCCTGCTGAGGGCAGCGCCCCGTGGAACCTAACTACTCCTCACCAAACCACCAAGTCACATCAGGGGCTGAGGCCTCAGCTTCTAACATAAGAATCCTCATGGAGCAAACTCAAGTTGCACCCAAACACCAGTGCCAAGGCTGGGCGACCTATCGAGTCCACACAAACTGGGTGGCCATGTCCATGTCCCCATTTTACACAGGAAGTGGCTGAGGCTCAACAAGGAAAGGCCAGTGACTTCTGAGTGGAGGCCTGACTCATGGTATCCCATGACCCATGGGGCAGCAGCTGCTCTCCACGAAGCCTGGGGAAAAGAGAGTGATGAAAGTGTTGAGGGTGGAGGCCCAAAGACTCAACTCTGGGTTGTAATATGTCCTGGAAAAGCCTCCCCCCCAAACCTTGTCCATGGAGGACCTGTCACTGATCCAGCCGGGGCCCTTCCTTCTGTCACTCATCACTCAGGGAGGGCATCGGTCACAACAGATCTGAGAGCGACTGCACTGCTAAGATCCTAGGCTATTAAAATACACCCCTGAGGCAGTAAGGACGATGTGACATTTCCACAGTAGTCCTACTGCCATCAAATGCCACATAAGTCCTTTCTGCTGCTTGCTTTAATAAAGTCGGCAGGTGTCCTGATAAACGCAGAATCTGCCTTGGCGCCTGGGAAATGTCACTGGGATTCAGGTGTGCTTTCCAGAAGTGATGATCTAATGGTTTTTCTCTTACAAGGGACTGGAGCCCATAACCCAGCCATGGTCTCCCAGGCAGCGAGACAGTGAGAAGTACCCTGATGGGAAGTCATTCGTGAGACAGTCTGGGTGGATGTGGGCCATTCTGCCCGTCTGGGATTTACTCTTTGGCCAACCGGGAGGTGGGGAAGGGCAGCAAAGGGACTGGCATTTGCTACTTTATCCAACAAGAAGAGGCAATCATGAACTTGAAATCAAAATGGAGCTGGGCTCTGGGCCAAGGCTGCCAGTAGGGTTAGGACCCCCAAGTTTGGGACCCACAACTGCCAACAACCCTTAGATTTCTGCAGCCCAGCCCTCTCACCCAACAGCACCTGCCTTAGACTCCAGACTCCCCTCACAGATTCCAGGTCTGCCAGGGCATCCACCCCCACCAGTCATCCCCATCTCAGTTGTCACACCACCCAACTGCTCATGACAAAGACCCAGGGTCACTTTCACTGCTGGTTCCTCCTGGCTTTCCTCCAAAGCTGGCAAATCCGTCACACCGCCATCCCCTTTAGAGTCACATGGACCCCTGCCACAGCCTCACTGGTAACCTGTTCCCACTCTGCTCCTATAGCCGAGGCCAAAATGATTTGTACAAATGCAACCTTGCTCTTTATCATTCTCCTGTCTAAACCCTTCAAGGGTTTCCTGCTAAAAGGAGACCCATTCCTCTCAAGACAAACACCAAAGCTGGCCTGGCCCCGCCTACCGCTCTGACTGCCCTCAGACTCCCCTTCCCCTTGATTCTATGGACGATGGCCCCTCAGCCTGGATGACCACTGCCTTTGCCCCACCCCTGAACGTGGTCACTTCCTGCTCATCCTTCACACAGTTCCAAAGCTCTGATACTGGGGGAGCCAGATCTCTCACCCAGACGGGTAAATGTGACCCTGTGGACTTGGGGTCCATCTCCCAGCACAGTGACAAGGTGACAAATGCCCTGTGGTATTCCTCTTCTTCATCTGCAGTAAGCATAGCCAGAAAACAGGGAGCAAGTTTTACTGTTCCCAAAGGGCCTCTCATGGCTTGGGAAGAAAATGGTAGCACATTAGAGTTGGAGGCCATGTCCAGGGCCCACAGAAGCCATAGGCAACCTGTCAGGCTGGCCCTGCAGCTGTGTCACCATTAAGGGCTGCTGGTATCAACAAGGGAGGAAGGGAGGTAACAAAACAAACAAGCACACCAGGATGCCACAGCTGTCGACACACATCTGAATGACCACCTTTCTGGTAAGGAGATCAGGTATGGTGCTTCTCTTTATCCATCTTCATTATCTATCTTCTATCTGAGCTGCGGAATCTTGGCTTACTTGCAGGAGGGGTTTTAAGTAGATTTTAAAAAGGAATTGGTAAGAGAAATGTAATTGATATTTGAGTGACTCACATCTTTTATGGGGGAAAGAAATCAGCCAATGACAAAAAGCAAACAAACAGAAGAGGTTGAGGGAGAAAGTTCTGGGAACTGGGTTCCTGGCAGGGAGGAGGGAGGCTAGATGGGGTGTGCAGATACAACTGGAAATCCCTTCCCCATGTAGCACCTGAGTAGCCTGGGTAGCTGCAGACCATACTTACCACTCAACAATCTCTGGGTGAAGAATGGTGTTGTTGACATTGAACCTGTGGACAGAAAATAAGTCATCAGCTCAGTAGCAGATCATATACCAGTAAGAAATGCTTCCTGCAAGACATATACATCAGAACCCAGGCAGAGCCCCAAACAGTCCCTTCCTAAACCCCCAGTCTGCAGCAGGTCTGCTGCTCACTTCCTTTGGGAGGCTTGGCAGCCTGGGCCATGTCTTCAGGTGTGGCTGGTTGGACAGCAAAGTGGCTGGGTTGCAGCATTAGCTCCACCGTCAGATATACCAATGTAAACATAATAGGAGTACCAGAGACACAGGACAAAGCAGAAGGGGCTGAACTTGGACAACTTGATGAAAAGCACTAGCTTGCACACCCACAAAAATCAATCAAGCCCAAGCAGGATCAGCAGCTGAAAGAATCTCTTGAAAGCAGAAACAGAAAGGTAACTGACTCATCACAGGCCCCAAGGAGTGTCTAATGAGATTAACAGCTAATTCCTCATCAGAAACCATGAAGACCACCAGGCAGTGGAATGACACAGAGTGTTGGAAATAAAGTCAGCTCAAGAATTTTACAGGTGGAGAAGAGGAGTGGGTGGGGCCATTGCCGTAGTGGCTCAACTGTCTAAACCTCCACCCACAAGTGTCAGATTCCTTTATGGTGCCAGTTCATGTCCCAGTTGCATCATTTCCCATCCAACTCCCTGCTTATAGCCTGGGAAAGCAGTGGAGGATGGTTCAAGTCCTTGGAACCTTGCACCCACACAGGAGACCCAGAAGAGGTTCTTGGTTCCTGGCTTCAGGATTGGATCAGCTCTAACCAATGCAGTGTTTGGGAAGTGAATCAGTGGATGGAAGATCTTTCTCTCTGTCCTTCTCTCTGTAAATCTGGTTTCCAGTAAAATCAAGCTTAAAAAAATTCTGCAGGCAGTAAAGCCATGCTTCAAAGAGAATTAAAACATTTCAGAGAAGTGAAAACAGACAATTCACTGTTGGTGGACCTACACTAGGATATACTAAAGGGAATCCTTCAGACTGAAAGGAAGAGCATTGTGGAATGACTGGAATCCACCTGAAGGGAGAAGGCATGAGTAAAGGTGGCATAGAGGAAACGATGAAGACAGCGGAAGCATGCTTTTTGCTTGTAACTCCCGCCCTTCTCCCTGACTTAACTGTACAGAAGTGAGTGTCTCATGCAGCAGTCAGGAGGCTGACTGAACACCTGTACCATTTATTAAGGGTTTGGGTCTCAGCTTTGCTTCTGCTTCAGCTTCCTGTTAACGAGCATCCCAGGAGGCAGGAGACGATGGCTCAGGTACTTGGGGTCTTACCACCCATGTGAGAGACCCAAGGTTGAGTTCCTGGCTCCTGACGTCAGCCTGGCTCAGCCCCGGCTGTTGGGCACATTTGGGGAGTGAACCGTGGAAGGAGGATAGCTGTTCCAAGTAAATAAATCAGTCTGTATCTGTATGGCCTTGGACTAGGCAATCATTTCTTAGCTATGACACTTAAAGCATAAGCAACAGAAGAAAAATAGGTAAACCGGCTTTCACCAAAACTTAAGACATTCCTGTTTGGGAGACAATATCAAGAAGATGAAAAGACAACTCACACAATGGGAGAAAATATTTGCAAGTCATGAAAGTCTAGAATCCAAAACACCTAACTCTGACAACACAACAATGAAAAGGTAAATAACTCAATTCCGAAATGGGCAGCTCACCCGGCTAGAAACTTCTCCAGAGAACAGATGCTCAACAACATCGGACTTCTGGAGACTGCAGATAAAAACCTCGCAGCCACCTGAGTAGCTGTAATAAAATAATCACCTAAGCACTGGCAAGGATGTGGAGGACTGTTGGGAAGAATGTGAATGGATGCAACCACTTTGAGAATAACTCTGGTAGTTCTTCAAAAAGGATAAAGAGCTACCACATGACACAGGGATTGCACTCCTAGGTATAAACCAAAAGCACATTCCCACACAAAAACATGTAGATTAATGTCCACAGCAGCAACATTCACATCAACCAAAAGCAGGACACAACTCAAGCGCCAATCGGTTGGTGCAGGGACAACTAAAAGGTGATACATATCCACAGGAAGGACATTTTTCAGTCAGAAAAGTGAACCAAGCACTGATTCATGCCGTTAACATGCTAATGAGATGATGCTGCCGGTTAAACCACCCCTGGAGATGCCAGCATCCCATCTGAGTGCCAGCTTGAGTCCCAGTTCCTCTGCTTCCAATCTAGCTTCCTGTTAACGTGCCTTGGAGGGCAGCAGACGATGGCCCAAGTACTGGATTTCTGCCACGGAGGTGGGAGAGCCACATGGAGTTCCTGACTCCTGCCACTGGCCTGGTCCAGCCCCAGCTGTTGTGGCCATTTGCAGAGAGAACCAGTAAATGGAAGCTCTGTCTCTGTCACCCTACATTTCAAATAAATAAACAGATCTTTAAAAAGCAAACATGTGAGGGGACCACACTGGGGTGCAGGAGGTTAAACCACCACCTGCAACCTTGGCATCCCATCTGAGTGCCAGTTTGTATCTCAACTGCTCCAACCCAATCCAGCTCCCTGCTAATGCACCTGGCAAAGCAGTGGAAGCTGACCCCAGTGCTTCTGTCCCTGTGGGAAACCCAGATGGAGTTCCAGGCTCACAGTTTCAGCACCCACTTGGGGAACGAACCATTGTTTGGAAGATCTCCCTGTCTCTCTTTTTGATTTGTGTCTCCCTCTGCCCTTCAAATAAATGAAATAATCTTTGAAAAAATAGGAAAACATGCAAAGTGAAAGAAGCCAGATTACAAGACCACAGATTGAAAAGCTCCATTTATATAAACTGTCAGAGTTTACTCACAAATCCATAGAGACAGCAAGTAGATTATTAGTTTCAGGGTCCAGGGGAATGGAGACGGCGTGTAAATGAGTACAAGGGTTATATCTGAACGATGAAAACATTTTACAATTGACTGCAATGAAATAGCACAACTCTGTCCATTTATAGAAATCATTCAACTAACTGTTTTAAGTGGGTAAACTGTAGGGTCAGTGTGGCAGTACCATAAGCCCATCTCCTGCCTTCAGTACTGGCATTCCATAGGGACATCAATTCACCTCCTGGCTTTTCCAGTTCTGGTCCAGCTCCCTGCTAATGTGCCTGGGAAAACAGGGAAGATGGCCCAAATAGTTGGAAGTTCTAGGCTTCCTACTTCACGTCAGTTCAGCTTCGGTCACTGCGGCCATATGGGGAATGAGCCAGTGGATGGAAGATCCATCTCGCTCTCTTTTTCTCCCTCTAAATCTGTCTTTCAAATCAAAATAAATCTTGTTTAAAAAATTTTAAAAAAGGATGAATCCTCCAGCAGAATTTGAGATTTCCACAAATCTCTGTCTTGCCATAATAAGAACAAGCAAACAGAGAAGTTGGGGAAGACGTGGAAGATATGAACTATATATAATCCCTTTACTCAACATAACACTACAGTTAACAGGTGCAGAGTATACGCCCTTGGCAGCAGTACACAGAACAATGTTTATATTTCCACAGATTCTAGACAGTATTCGTTGATCCCCCCAAATTAGGCCAGAAATCAGTAACAAAAAGGAAGCCATACAAATCACAAACTGTTTAGAAATTAAGTCACAGACTTCCATTCAAACCCATTAATCAAAGATAAAAATCACAGTGAAATTAGAAAATTTAAATATCATTACCTATAAAATCCAGCTAAAGCAGGGCTCAGAGGAAAATGTGTAGTTCTAAATGCATATGAGCTAGTAGCAATCAACACTGAAAATCAATAGTCTAGCTGCCATCCCAAGATCAACACTTTATTCCTCCTCAAAAAGCTGGAGGAAGAATAAATAAAACCTGCTAAAATTAGGAGGATATGTAAAACGAGCAGAAAGCAATGAAACAAAAAACATCAAGAAAAATCCACAAAGGTACAGCAATTCTTTGATACAATGGATGTAATTGAAAAAGTGGCCCCAGGAGACAAAAGGGTGAGGTCTGAGGGCACAGGGTATGTCTCTGGCATGAGAGATTTATGTGTGACCCAGAGCCCAAGCTGGGAATGAGACATGGCTGAGCACAGGGTATAGGTCTCGGCAGAGGCCTTGACAGGCTTCCCAGCCCCTGCATTCCAGGACACCACACACAAGCACGGGGACTCCAGGGCTGCCTCATCTCTGCATCTGAAGATGCCCGCCTAATGCCATCGTGTGAGGCTAGTAGGCTCCTGACTCCTGGACAAGGGGCATGGACAACACAGAAGATTCCAGATCTACGCAAAACAGGACTACTTGATTCCAAGCCAAATAAGGTGCCACAGAATCAAAGCCCTGCTTGTGAAGTATCTGAGACTCCACACAGCTAAGTGGTTTGGGATGAAGTACAGAGCAGCAGACAACATAAATCAAGACGACAACACAGGTGCCACCTCCTTTTTTGCCAAATGTCACACTGACGCTAGGAGGAGTGACAGTCTATCTTCCAGACACACACAGGAGTGCAGCTTAACATTACACAACATGAGATTGTACACACACATGCTGTGGAGTGTCCTGGCACAAAGCAGCAGATGCTCAGAAACACACACAGGCCCATGCAGGTGCCCAGGCTCCCCTCAAGTCCCTTCTTCCTCTGCCTGGCCAGCAGCACTGCCGCAGCATCCGCCTGTGCTTCCCCTGACAGGTGCCCAGGTGCTCTCCCTGCAACACTGTCCTCAGGACCAGCAAGCAGACCAAGAGCCACTGGCACCCAAGGACTGCACTACCACAGCAGTGGAGGTGGCTAAGCAGGCCATGGTCACAGTACAAGACAAAGAGATGATTCGTACCCAGAGCAACAGGGAATGGGACCACAAAGATTTCATCTTACTATTCAGAATGGCCTGCAATGCAAAATGTATGAATTGATTATTCCTGTTATTTTACAAACCATGACTTTTCCTCACTAAAATAACCTCCTGAGAAGTGATCCTGGAAGAAGGGAGGTTATCCAGGCTCACAGCTTTTGGAGGCTCACAGT